GGCAATTCTTGTAAGATCTTAATGCCCAAACGTGATAGATTATCTTCAGGTCCTACAACCCGATAACATTAACAATTGGGGAGAGTTAAATGAACCAGCCGACAATATAACCTCTTTGCGGGCCTTGAAGGTATAAAGTTTTTTTACGATATATAAACTCTATGCCATAGGCGGCTTTAGTAGAAGGATCTATTAAAACTTTAGTAACCCGCGAAAAGTAAATATTTTTAAATTTGGACGTTTTAAACATAATGGGTTCTATAAAGGCACGATAGTCACTATGGCGGCGACCACCACGAGTATTGGCCTGTACATACGAAACACCCAATTGAGATTCACCATTATAATCGGTATATGAATGTCCAGCCTGTTGAGCACCTTCTATGAAAGCATGAACTATTTGGGTGCGATACTGTACATATTCCACACTAAGAGGACCGGTTTGATTGTGATAACGAGTAAATTCTAAACCCTCCAAATTGGCCATTTCAGACTTGAGAAAATAAGGCAAGACATCCTTATAAGACCAGCCATAGTTACCCGCCTCAGCCCAACTATCAAAATCACGACGATTACCACGATTATAGATCATAAAATTAATCGAACTGGTGCCACCATAATTTTACCACGAGGATGTAGACATTCATTATTATACATGCCAAAGCAGGCACGTTTCTGTGGCACCGTTCTATAGTTCCAAATGGCATTAGTCACCTGCATATAACCGCAAAGAACGGGCAATAAATTTAAAATATTTTCCGTGCCACCAGCTTCGATTAAGGCCACACGCCAGTTGGGATTCTCCGATAAACGATTAGCTACAACACTGCCCGCCGTACCGGCACCCACCACTATAAAATCAAAGACCTCATTATTGCGGGGAACTGGAAAGTGATATTTTATTTAGATCTTTGATTATTGAATGAGTAAAATTGAAAAAACTTACTTGAGGGCCTTAAAAGTTTCTTGTTGAAAATTAGTCAAACCCAGTTGTAGACCATCGAGCAGATTTTGATAGGCATATGTGGAGTAGGCCTGAAGCCATAAAAATTATTAAAAATCTAACCGCAAAAGTCCCGCTTTGTTTTAACAGCATGTTAAAATGCTAATTTCATGCCAATTTTTTTATTTAGTTGAAAGACTTCTGATTCCAAGGTGTTTAACTTTCTGATTGTAATTATTAAATGAAAAGAAATTATAAAAATTAAGAGCTTTTAATACAAACATTAGGAAACTGGTTTAATATATATAAAATTTATTAATATTATTTAATTTTTTTTACATATTTACATACATGTTAATATTGTAGAATTAAGAATAAATTGAGAGCGTAAATATTTCTTTCTTACTTAATGATTTTAGAATAGACGGAGAGTGTAAATATTTTCATTTCACTGAACCAGTCCTTACAATTAATACCCATGAACGCGCCTTATGTTTGTTTTAATTTAAACAATAAAAAATTAACAATTAAAATCCAGTTTAATACTTAAATAATATTAACTTTATTATTTGCACTCGATAGAAGTGAACCATATACGTAGATTGTTTGCTTTTACAAATTGTGCTTTAATTAGAATTTTGAACTTGATTCATTAGTTTAATTATTTTGTTAGACATATTTCTCGTTGTCTTATTTTGATCGTTTGGGAGATATTGCATCGTAATATTAATTTGCGACCCTAATCATGAAAGATTTTTTTCGTTTGTCTGTACTCAAGAGATGACCACCTAGGAACTAGCACTACACCGCGAGGATTATTCTAATAATTTGCATCGATCATGGGTCTTTGTAAGGGATTTTTATTTTTCAATCATACGCGACCCACCGATCTGGGATGGAAGGGCATTAGCCTGTTTATTTTCGTACTTTCTCTTTTCATCCCTCCTTCTCTCTACTATCTTTACCCTCAGTATATTCAATTTAAAAATCTATCGATGAGAATTTACTCTTGCAAAATTTTAAGATTAGAGACCAGAACGGCCTGGGAGTTCTGCAATATAGATTTAGCTGTAAATTGGATTTGTAGCAACGCTCAGGGAACTCTTGAAAAATTTGAAGATTGGAGACGAGACTAATCAGCTACCGACCAAATAGTCGGTCCGCTCCGTGGATGTAAAATAGGGCCGATTTAGATGTAAATCGAATTGCTAGTTATCTCAGCAATGCTGTGGCTTTTATAAGTATACGCTCCCATGATGCGTCACTGATATTGCGAATATTCGGAGAATATGTCCTAGATCATTAAACGAGGCTAATTAGTTACATGATTCCTTCGCCGCGAATAGAAAGTAGGGCCCGATGTATGTAGATTCAGCTGTACATTAGATTGTTAGTTCTATAAGTAATGCTGTGAAGAGACCCTGCAAATCATCGAAAGGTTTTAAGAAATATGAGCCCTCATGGAGGGTCCCTGATATTGCGAATATTCGGAGAATATGTCATAGATTACTTAATGCGGAATGCGAAATGGAAATTTGATAGCTCTACTGAAACTAGTCTTAAAATTCTATTGAAATCTCCTATAATCCCTAGCTATATTCAAAAATTGGCAGAAGTTGAACTTTCGGTAGTATCAAGAGACCTTAGAACTTCACCTGATTCCCCACTTTCCTGGTTAAGTTTTTCGGAGAGAGATAAATTAAAAAGAGACAAGTATACTTTTTTGATCACTTGACCTCCATACTTCCTGTTTTTCACAGACTCCAATTATATATCAGTTATCAGTCATTATTAGTCACCGTAAATTCGGAAACATGCTTGAAGTTTTTGACTGCGTGTAATGACTTGTGTAGATGTTCTCAAGATGAAAAGAAGACTGTAGTACATCCATGTCTGATTACTAGATCGTTGTTGCCTTGCATGAATCCACACTCAAGTCCACCTTACTTCCTGTTCTTAACAGACTACAATTATATATATAGTCATTATTGGTCATCGTAAATTCGGAACCATGCTTGAAGTTTTGGTCTTCCGTATTATGACTTCTGTAGAAGTTCCCAAGATGAATAGGGGACGTAGTAACATCTTATTGGTAACTATACAGCCCTAGAAACTGGCTGTTATATTCAATGATCTATCCGATCTATCTAATGTTCAATTCGAATGACTAAACGCATTGTGGAACTTGTCAAATTAAATCCTTATTCCCGTCTACTATAATTCCTCTCTTCCGCTTTATTTTGTCTTTATTCTTCCAGGTATTTTACAAAGCGATCTTTCGGAACCCAAATATAGGTTTTTCGATGCTAAAAGTAACCATATCTTTTGTAATTTCAACCGATATACGATTTGTATATCCACCATTCGTTTGTAATAGATTGAAATCTTGTACAGATATATATTTTGGATTCTTACTAAAATCTATGACTATCGAATCATTTTTATTTGTCTAATTAAAGCATCATAGGGCCTTAACGGGAGGAGATAGTGGGATGAAATTAATGCAGTTTGTTTGCTATAAGAATCGATTAAGAAAAGGTCTCGGTCCATAACTGATCGCTCATATGGCTTATCTAACAAGAAATCACTTTTTTTCTGTATTGAAATTACTCTGAAGCTCAGCTTTTGGAATATTTACATATACGTTAATGTACCGGACCGGTAATATTTCATATCTGCCATAGTTTTGCCGTTCTTCCGATTTGAAATTAAGGTATTTCGGGGAAAGACGCCATTTTTGGCAATAATTTAGGCAAAATGCTATTATTAGAAATTGTTGCGTAAATTGAGAATATCTTCTGAGCCATAACTTTGCTGACGTCCAGAATCGTTAAAACTTTCAAAATCGTAATCAATAGACTGAATAGACTAGTACGTACCGCTAATTAAAGTTAAACTATATTAGGAATTTTATTTGAAGATGATCAGTGTATAGTCTCTTAAGGTACCGTTCACACCTATCAAATATTTGACGAAAAAGCCGTAACTGCATTCTAATACGTTAACTTTAAAGATATATTGGTACCGATATAACTTAAAGTAATTATTTATAAAACATTTTTTAAAATTATTAAAGGTTTATAAATCAAAATTTGTATAGAAATATTATCATTAAGATTAAGACCAGTTTAGGGAATTCTTTAAATATTTCAATTTGACGCCATTAAAGATGACTGACGTACATATTTTTTTAGTAAAATCACTACAACAATTAAAACCAAGTATTTTGTTAGATTATTATTTTGGAATTTTTTTTCAGAAATCTATTATTTGTTAAAATATTTGACTGTCTTTCATTAAAACCTGTTAATTTTGAATCACAAAAGAAAGTAAAAAAAAAATTAACTCACTTTTTTGTCTGATATAATCAATTAACACTTTGTTTGTATTAGATGACATTTAATAATTCATTTAAACACTGATACTAATGTTAACAATTTTTTAATATTTGTTGTAAACTTGACACTGACGGCGAGTAGAGAGACAACACAGTGTTGCATTGAATATATATAAATGAAATGTTTATTATTAACTTCTTTAATAAATTTCTTATTTTATGAAATTTTTTTTTACTCTAATTTCAAACTTGTACTTTAATTTCAAACCGTGTTCAACTGACAAATGGACCACTTAAAAGTTTTGAATGTGTATTTATATTTAATTAAATTTTCCTAGCTTTAAATTTTTTATTTTTTTAATTATGTATGAAAAAATTTTATTGTTAAAAAAGTTGTAGATTTGTTTTTGGTATAATGTAAAATTTTGTAAAAGGTCAGTTATTTATGACAAAACTTTAAGATCTTTATTAGGTATTTAATATATTTATATAGTAGATTCATAATTGTCAACAGCATGTGTCAAAGACCTTAGCCTTAATGTAAATAGTCTTATAATTAATTGTAGAACATAACATAATTTTATCTAAAAGTAAAACATAAAAGTCCAAGTTATAGACATAAAGTCATTAAACACACTTTTAATGTCAAAATTTATGGGCAGATTGGTCATAAAAATAAAAAAGTGTCTGAACTTTTAATCTAGATTAAATACAACTTGTTATATATAAAAAAACTCAAAATGTTATGAATCCCTCCATGCCGCCTTAATCATATCGGCACCTTTTTCAGCTATCATAAATGCGGCCGCATTAGTATGGGCCGTCAGCGGTAAAGGTATAATGCCTACATCCACCACTCTTAACTTGCCAATGCCATGTACTCGTAATTCCGGACTTACCACAGCTGTTGGGTCTGACGAAGGACCCATGCGACAAGTCGCCACTTGATGATGTAAAGTATAAGTCAAAGTTCTTATAGAACAACGCCAATAGTCATCGCTACCAAAATCGTAGGACTCACAACCCGGTACAGTGATATTCAAAATTTCGGTACCAATACTTTTCATAGCCGGTGTCTCTGCTATACGTATGGCTGCCTTAATGCCCTGCAATATATATTCTATATCTTCGGGATGATCAAAATAATTAGGATCAATCATGGCTGCTTGTAAAGGATTAGTATTTCTTAGCCATACCCTACCCAGTGACTTGGGATGGAAGGGCATGATAATTACAGTAAAATGATCTTGTTTGGATTTCTCTAAAGGACGATACAAACGATCATAGACTATTTGTTTTATATTACCTCCCTGTTTTAAAGCGGTACCATCATCGGAAGCTAAACTAGCACTAGCGAAAATAATCTCTACATCAGGCCAATCTGTAGGTAACTTAGAGCCTGGTACCTTAAGAAATGCCAAAGCTTCTACGCCCGGCAACATGGATAAACGGGTGTCTGGATGACCCGCCAAGAAACCTAAAATATCTCTGGCTGTCATTCTAGAGGGAAACAAGGCTTGCTTAGTGGTATTAACTATGAAAGTAGGTCCAAAGTGTGTGACATGTTCATACATTCTCAAACCCACCGGCAATTCTTTTAAGATCTTTATACCCAAATTACCTAAATTATCGGCAGGTCCTATGCCCGATAACATTAACAATTGGGGAGAGTTAAAGGCTCCCGCCGAAAGTATAACCTCTTTACGGGCCTTAAATATATAACGCTGACGACGATATAGAAATTCTATGCCATAAGCTGTTTTTGAATTGGTATCTATTAACACTTTTGTTACCCGGGCAAAAGTAAATATTTTCAAATTATTACGTTTAAACATAATAGGTTCTATAAAGGCCCTATAAGCACTGTGACGCCGTCCATAACGTGTGTTAGTCTGAACATAAGAAACTCCCATTTGTGACTCGCCATTGTAGTCTGTCTGCTTTAAGCCTATTTCTTGAGCACCCCGAACAAAAGCATGTGCTATATCTGTGCGCATTTGTAC